CATCTCTGCATATGTCTCTGCTACAAGTTAATTTGTTATTTATGTAAATAAAATAAGCGGCCACAAAACAGGCTATATATCTCAAAGTGGAAATGCTGAATGTACAAGAATATTGAAACAGGAGATAGGGGAGTTCCGTTCATTAACAACATCATTAAGAGAATCCCGAGCAAGAAGTTAAGGACAGATACATTATAAACAGATGTTTTATGTTCATGTCAGTCTCAAGTCTAGTGTACGAAAGTGGAGGTTACGTAAAGCGGGGGGGGGGACATAGAGTAAGATTCCAGGCAAGCGAAATGCATTATGTGCAGATTATGCGGGATAGAAACGAAGCAGTCCGTAAAGGGAGGATAACATTAGTGAATAATTAAACATTGAAGAACTTGTCAAAATTATATAAATGTTGTATGTATATATATATATATATATTATCGTATGTATGAATCAGGAATTTTGTCTTCTCGTCTGCTGTCCAAAAACAAAAATTAGAATATACAAAACTATAATTTTTCCTGTGGTTCTGTATGGGTGTGAAATTTGGTCTCTGACACTAACGGAAGAACATAGACTGAGGGTGTTTGAGAACAGGGTGTTGAGGAGAATATTTGGACCGAAGAGGGATGAAGTGACAGGAGGTTGGAAAAAACTGCATAACTTGTACTCTTCTCGAAGTATAATCAGAATGATAAAGTCAAGGAGGATGAGGTGGGCAGGGCATATAGCACGAATGGTGAGAGGAATGGGTATAGGATATTGGTGGGGGAGCCAGAAGGAAAGAGACCACTGGGAAGACCTAGGCTTAGGTGGGTGGACAAAATTAAAATGGATCTTAGAGAGAGAGGATGGGATGGTATGGATTGGATTGGTCTGGCTCAGGATAGGGACCAACGCAGGGCTCTAGTGAACACGGTAATGAACCTTCGGGTTCCATAAAATGCTGGGAAATTCTTGAGTAGCTGCAGAATTGGCGGCTCCCCCAGAAGGGCTCAGCTCCGTGAGTAAGCAAGTAATATATATTATCGTAGTGTAGTGTTTGGCGTCCCTGCGGCCTGTTTGGCATGTTTCATGTTATACTCTGGGTACTGAACCTGGCAATTACTTTTAGTGGTTCCTTTATCAGACTGGCTGCTACAGTTTCCAGTTCATTACTGGAATACTATTTGTGGTAATTGGTTCTTTACTATCTAAATAAAGGATGAAATGAACAAAATAGACATACATATCATAGAAGGTTGTTACTTTATGTTATTGAGGCACTATGCTACAAGCCGGAAGGTCGCGGGTTCAAGTTCCGATGAGGGTACTGATTTTTTCAGTTGACCTAAACTTTCCAGCCGCACTATGGCCCTGGGGTGGACTTAGCCTCTAACAGAAATGAGTACCAGGAATCTTCATGGAGATAAAGGGCCGCCGGCTCGTGAAGCTGACAACCTCACCGCCATCGGTGAGCCGATTGTCTAGACAATATGTGGGAGCCTCGACGTCTCACAACCCTATGGGTCTCCATGGCCTGTTACAGGGATAGCTGTACCTTTTTTATATCAAAATAATTATAAACATTGTTACAGACACATTGTGCGTTACGAACAGTTATATGCAGTTCTATGGAAGATTAGCATCTTACATGCAGAAGTCTGATTGATCTGTAGACCTGCAGTAACTGCAGGGCTTGCGTGATTGATAAGATGGGTTTTGGATTTGATGATCGAATTTATTGGATCTTTATATAACTCGTTACACAAATCACTATCTCACACATCTTCCGCCTGGAAACTCTACTGCAACTATTCTGACTTCCAACCGAACTGCTAGTCCAAGTCCAAGTCACATTGCGACTGACGGTCAGTCAGTCAGTAAGTCTTGGTGTCGAGCCCCATCTGGGGATCATGACCAGATGTTTATTACTGTTTAACAGTTACAGTCTTGCTTTTCTGGAGCGCCCTCTCTGACGAGAGGATGGGTCTGTCTTTTACATATGCTGCTGGTCCTTGCCAGCGCAATCTTTTCTCGGGTCCGAGTCCCTTGGGGCTCATGGCCATATTTTACTATCTCAGTTTTGAGACTTACCCTTTCGTTGCCTCTTACGACTCCGAACTGTCAGTTATTGTTGACTTCTCCTTATTTAGACTTGGGTCGGACCTCAACACAGAAAACACCTGTTGCATTGCAGTGGATGTTCCCTATTCTTGCATATTCGCTGGAACGTGCTTACTGAGTCGTTTCTTATCAATAAGTATATGCTAACCCACATAGAAAACACCTGTTCTATTGTTGCGTCCGTGTATTGTGCTCGTTGCCTAGCAATGGGTCTGTTTATCACAGTATTGAAGCCGGAAGGAAGCACAGTTCTTTCGACAACCAGTGACGGAAGTAAAAGCACTTTTTGTTTAGATGAGGAGTGGGTCTATCTGCTAGCAGCTCCTGTAGTTACGGTGCTGTGGAGACGCAGGACATTGCTACCGTCTTGGGGACTCCCCGTGGGAAAAGGGATCCCGCCGAAATAATTGGAAAGTCGGTAGTTCCAGTTGATATGATCGGTCTGTTTTTAAGTGTTCCTGGGGTCGATGTTAGAACACAAATGGTCTCCTTTAGATGCCCCTTTTGACCATGAACATCTCCTGCGTAATTCGTTGCAGGCATGCGTATTGGGAGGTCATTGAAAGGCCACGCTGAGTGCTTGACTGCAGGTCAGGACAAACTGAAGCGTGTAGCAGATGTTTTCCTAATTCTGCGTGAGGAGCACAGCAGGAAGGAAGAACGCCTACAGGTGTTATTTATTATTATTATTATTTGTTTGGTGAGACCGAGTCCACTGCGACCACTACTTGCCTATTGTACCAGCCCCAGATGATAGATGATAGTGACTGTGGAGCAGTCGGTGGAATGAGAATTGGTAGGGGAAACCGGAGTGCTCGGAGAAAACTTGTCCAAGTGTCACTTTTTCCATCACAAATCCCGTATGACCTGTCCCGGGCTCGAACCCAGGCCTCCGCCATGGGAAGTCAGCGACTAACCGCCTGAGCTAAGCGGCCTCCTTAGTCTAGAGGTAACGTTCCCACCTCATGACTCGCGGTACGCGGGTTCAAATACCCGGCGGAGGTCGTCGAATTTTTAAGGGCGGAAAAATTCAGGGAACAAGTCCTCCGGGAGGGACTTTAAGCTG